ATGCATCCAGGCCGCCATGTTACCTTTGGCCCGACAGGGAATGTCCACCACTTTCTCCATCTCTGCTGTGATGTGTCTCTCTGGCTCCTTGACAAACTGAGGTGGCTCTGCAGGAGGAAGGACCAAGGAAGGGGATCACAGCCATGCTCCTCGTGATCTAGACACCGAGGGGATCACTGTCAAGGGAGCCCCAGCTGCCCCACCCTGTCTCCTGAACGCTCACCTAACACAGACAGGTAGGCCCCCCGGGTGACAGCGGGGATGCTGCTGCTGCGCAGGACAGCCTCGCACTCGTAGTAGCCGGCGTCACTGCCCGTGGGGTTGGGGATGGTGAGCCGGCGGCTGTAGTCGCTGACGCCCCCCGACACCACCACCCCGTCCTTCTTCCAAATGATGTGCAGCTTGATCAGGGGCCTGGAGGGGCGAGGGAGGCAGGCGCTCAGCTGCAGGGACTTCACAGGCCGAGAGGCAGGGCAAGGGTGCAGGCTCGCCAGCCAGGCTGCCTGGGTTCACGCCCAGCTCTGCCACTTTCTAGCTGCGTGTGGAACTTGGGCAAGTTCCTTCAGTGCTCTGGGTCTCAGTTTCCTCGTCTGGTAAGTGGGGTAGCTGTGCGTACACATGGGATTGTTAGGAGGATGATGCATTAATGCAAATCAAGCCCTTGGGTGGGGCCTGGCAGCAGAGCAGCACTCCAGGCACTTAGCGCTCACGTGCTGGGGTTGCCTACAACAGGAAGGCGCCTGAGCCATGCAAGCGAACACAAGGCAGTGGAGAGGGAGAAGGTGAGGGTGAGGGGAAGCGCAAGAGGGCACGTGAGAAAGATACGCAGAGTTTGGAGATGGAGAAAGAAAGGCAGACAGACAGACAGGCAATCCCCAGGCCGACCTACGGAGAGGAGTGACGACTTGAATTCGGCCCCCTCTCCTGTGGTCACTGCCCCTCCCTCCCATGCCCCCTTGGATCTGGCTTGCCTGGGCACTCCTGTTTAGCCCCTGGTGGATTCCTGAGGACGGAATTTTCCAAAGTGGGGTCTGTGCTGGTTGCATGGGGTATTCAGAAAATTCCATGGAAAAGGGGTTTCATGGTCAAATGAGTGTGGGCAACACTGGCTTGAATGATGTTAGTTTCTTTACTGCGGGACTCCTCAGGGTCCTTAATAAGCTCCACTGTATCCTGAAGGCTTTTCCTATAATTGCCAGGGACACTCTCAGGAGCCTACCTTGGAAACGCTGCTACAAGGACAAGCTCTCCGGGAATCTTCTGCTGGAGGTGACCTCGGGGTCATGACTCTAACTCTGCACCCAGGACATCAGTTTGTCTTTACTGAGCTCTTACGAGGTGTCAGGTAGGGGCTGAGGTTTAGTACTTTGCATGCCTTACAGGGGAGGCAGGCGCTCAGTCATTCCCATTCCACAGATGAGGAGACTGAGGCCCACAGCATGGACCTAGAGGAAGTCAGTTACATTTCTGCTCTGCTACAGATCAGCTGGGTGGCTTTGGGCAGGTTGTTTGGCTCTCTGGGCTTAGGGAAGGGGTAATAACACCTGTGCCATATGGCTGCTGTTGGGATAAAGGAGATCATTCTGGAGGCAGTTAGCATGGTGCCCGCATACAATGGCGCTCAGTAATTACTTGTTTCTGGTGTGAGAGAAGTGAGGTCACACATGGCCAGGGAGGGCTGGGACTGCACCTGACCCGAGGTCCGTCCTACTGTGGAGTCCACTCCCACACGCGTGTTCCTCTCGTACACGCCTGCAAGCAGTGAGAGGCCGCCTGCTCCTCTGGGAGACAGCTCTGCTTCCGTGTGCTCAGGGCCTGGTTCTCTCCTCCTGGGCCACAGAGAATGAGGACCCTCTGACAATAGCTACCATGATCCACCTGCTGTCTCTCCTCCAGGCTAAACACCCTCATTTCCTTCCATGCATCCTCATAGGATACGGCTTCCAGAATTTTCTGAACCCTGGCTGCTCTGCTTGGAGTCCACAGTTCAGAGTAGCACCTGGAGTTAAATGTGATGGGAGGCGAGGGGGCAGCATTACCCACCTGGCATTGGCCACACACTCCAGGGTCACCTCCGAGGTACCAACCACTACACTGGTGTTCTTGGGAGGGATGATGATGCTGGGGGCGATGGGGTCCGCGGGTCCCGCTATATCTGGGGAGAGGTCAGATGTTAGTGGGAGCCGATGTCCGAAACCCTATCCCTCCCTGGCCCCAATAGACGCTGATGCCACTGGAGGCCTCTGTCCTCATGGATGGAACAGTGGCCACAGGGGCGGCCACAGGGGCGGCCACCGAAGCAGCCCAGAGCCTGGCTCTCCAGATGCTGACCTGAAACCCTCCCCCTCTGCTCATGTGTCACTACATGGGTGTCCAGGGACAGCCCACTGGAGACATGGATGACCTCCAAGGCCTTCCCCAACTCCTCATGTAAGGAAATCACACTCACACTCCTCATCACCTCGCCCTGCTTTATTGCCTTCAGATCCTTCTCTCTGCCTGGATTTAGCTTGTCTGTTTACTTCTGCACTGTC